TCATGGCTGCAATCACCATCTGCAGTGATTTTGGAGCCCCAAAAAATAAAGTCTGACACTGTTTCCACTGTCTCCCCATCTATTTGCCATGAGGTGATGGGACCAGATGCCATGATCTTAGTTTTCTGAATGTTAAGCTTTAAGCCAACTTTTTCACTCTCCTCTTTCACTTTCATCAAGAGGCTTTTTAGTTCCTCTTCACTCTCGGCCATAAGGGTGGTGTCATCTGCATATCTGAGGTTATTGATATTTCTCCCAGCAATCTTGATTCCAGCTTGTGCTTCTTCCAGCCCAGCGTTTCTCATAACGTACTCTGCATAGAAGTTAAATAAACAGGGTGACAATATACAGCCTTGACGTACTCCTTTTCCTATTTGGAACCTGTCTGTTGTTCCATGTCCAGTTCGAACTGTTGTTTCCTGAGCTGCATACAGGTTTCTCAAGAGGCAGGTCAGGTGGTCTGGTATTCCCATCTCTTTCAGAATTTTCCACAGTTTATTGTGATCCACGCAGTCGAAGGCTCTGGTGTAGTCAATAAAGCGGAAATAGATGTTTTCTGGAACTCTCTTGCTTTTTTGATGATCCAGCAGATGTTGGCAATTTGATGTCTGGTTCCTCTGCCTTTTCTAAATCCAGCTAGAACATCTGGAAATTCACAGTTCACATATTGCTGAAGCCTGGCTTGGAGAATTTTGAGCACTAATTTACTAGCGTGTGAGATGAGTGCAATTGTGCGATAGTTTGAGCTTTCTTTGGGATTGCCTTTCTTAGGGATTGGAATGAAAACGGACCTTTTCCAATCCTGTGGCCACTGCTGAGTTTTCCAAATTTGCTGGCATATTGAATGCAGCACTTTCACAGCATCATCTTTCAGGATTTGAAATAGTTCAACTGGAATTCCATCACCTCCACTAGCTCTGTTCGTAGTGATGCTTTCTAAGACCCACTTGACTTCACATTCCAGGATGTCTGGCTCTAGGTCAGTGATCACACCATTGTGATTATCTGGGTCGTGAAAATCTTTTTTGTACAGTTCTTCTGTGTATTCTTGCCACCTCTTCTTAATATCTTCTGCTCTGTTAGGTCCATACCATTTCTGTCCTTTATCGAACCCATCTTTGCCTGAAATGTTCCCTTGATATCTCTAATTTTCTTGAAGAGATCTCTAGTCTTTCCCATTCTGTTGTTTTCCTCTATTTCTTTGCACTGATCGCTGAGGAAGGCTCTTATATTCATGATATAGTTATAAAATGCTAATGCCCTGACTCAACAATTGGCCTCTATCAAATGAATCAGGAAGAAAGGTAAGCTTTTACAGCTGTTACTAAAGATGTTGTTATAAAACAACAGAACTTCCAATTATACAAATAATATTATCATTCTAGCAATATTTTGTAAGTACTAAAAGAGAACTACAATGCTATTTCAACATCAAAATACTTTATAACTGTCATTCACACTGACTGAACAGCTATGTCCTATTTTTCCTATCAATGGTTAATATTTAAGAGAAGTAAGAGAGCAAAGAGGTCAACTTCAATGGAAAATTTTATTTTCCTGCCAAGATAAAAACTTTGTTATTTTAAATTATCTGTTAAAAGTCCGATCATTTTATATTGAAAAGATACTATAATAAAAAAGTTAAAACCACTGACACACAAGTAATTTTTGATGTACATTTAGAATAACTCTTGTTTGAACCAAGGCTACCTGCAGCTGCCACATACTATATGGCGCTAGGGTTTTCTTTAACTGGGGAATGGGGGCAGGGACAGCAAAGCCCCTTAGGTGGAAAGAAATGAGATACTTTGTACAAACTAACTACTACCCCCTTAAAAGTAGGAGGAGATAGGTTCATAAGATCCATAATCTCATAGAGGTTAAACAGAAATATATGAGTTAGGGACAGGTTCCTAAATGAGCCATCATTTACAGGCATGTTGGAAGGGCTGGTAACTACCAAGTTAAGGAAAATAGCATGGCTTTGGAGCGATAGGGACCTGCACTAAATCCTCAATGTGCCTCTCAGCAGCATGTGATAACTCTCTTGCCTCGACTAGTTCAGTGCCCCCCACTAAAACCAATTCTGGTCATAGAGCCCTATGCTTAAAAGTCATATTCAAGATAAAACACTTAGCAGGGCCTTTATTCTCTTAAGGCTCTTGTCAATCTCATCCTAACCCACTTTTTTTAGTCTTTTGTACTCCCTCCTTTCACTGTGAGAGTCTTGATAAATGAGCTGAGCCATGACAATCAAATGAAGAGGAAAGAGATGAAAACAAGGATGTGATTTCACAAAGTGAGAAAGTATGTTACATGAAAGTATGTTACATATATATATATATATAGTATCTTAAACATGTATATATGTATATATGCCTCATAAAGGCCCCAAATGATCATGAATGATAAATACAGATAATATTTACGAGTACAAATGTAATAGTATTATTCACCCTAGAGGCTGGAACTAGTCTTTCTAAGTCATGATTATCTTGATGGGTCCAAATGCTTTTTGGCACACAGTGAGTTAGAAAATGTGAACCACATAACTGTCAAAGAGTAACAAAGTACACTTTAACCCAGTAAGTGGTATCAACTTCTCTGTGCCTCTGTAATCCATTTATCTAAATCCTACTTAGCTGGAGGATCATAGTTCTCATATATCTAAATAGCTCTTTCCAAAGTTTAGATTAATGGTTCAAACATACAGTAAACACTGATGTACAAATTAGCTATCTGATGTCACATATAAAAATAAAAATTTCTTGTGACATATACATTTTCTTGGGATGAAAACAACACTAAGGAAATTAGGATCATGTCAAACAAGTAACTAAAAACTGTCTGAAGATAGATACCCACCTCCCAAGTCCCTAAAAGCCAGAAGTGGCCAAGAATTCCAATGAACCACTAAAAACAGATCTGAAATCTCCGTGGAAACAGGAGGCTTCATAGTGACAGACAGGGAAGAGCTTAAGGAAATATAAACCAAATCTTCATAGATCCACATAAAAAGGGAATGAGAGAATAGTAATTTTTAAAAAGCTGTGGTAGTGGCTAGATGGATCACAAAGTACTTAAAATACAAATTAAAAAGAAAGTTAATACCTCAGGCCTCATAAAATAAGAACAGAAATGGGAATTTAACTAACTTGTGTTTGATCCCCGGGTTGGGAAGATCCCCTGGAGAAGGGAAAGGCTACCCACTCCAGTATTCTGGCCTAGAGAATTCCATGGACTATACAGTCACAAAGAGTCGGACACGATTGAGTGATTTTCACTATCACTTTCCCCTCAAATAACTGGAATTTATTTAGAGTATTAGCTTTTGAAATAAACATAAACATGTCTTGGGGATTATATTTGGGGATAAATTATATTAGATTTGGGGAAGACTCTTTCTAATCTTTGACCTAACAGTTAGTATATACCAGTTAGGACTATGAGTGATGGAAGCAGGTATTAGCATTCATTGATTTTTACAGAAATTAGAAATGAGAAGCCTAACTAACCAAAGTCACAAGGATTTGAAACCTCCTTCTCCTGGTCTTATGAAATAGAAAACATTTCTTCACAGAAAAGTAAAATCATGATCTAAGTTCACACTACTGTACAAAATTATATTTCTATAACAGTAATACATTTATTATCTATGCTAATCATAATTTAACATGGACTCTAAATTTTCTGATAAAATCATCTACTTAAGACTTAGCAGAGGAAAGAAGACTGTTGATAGTTGTTTATAGTTTACATTTCATGGATACCATTATTACATATGAACATGTAAATCAGTAACAGAATGCAAACCAGCCACTAAACTAATTTCCAACTTGATAATACTACTAACCAAAAGGTAGGACCAGTTTCTAGCATCATGCATTTATTTCAAATTTATCTGAAATATAATAATCATATCTGCCAATATGATAATAAGGAAAAACCCTAAAAATTGCAAATAATGTCAAATGAAACATAAATTTTCAAACAACACTGATAAGTAACAATTGCACGAGAAAGTTTATATTCAGTGATATTGGACTTTTATGCCTTTTTTTCTCCTTAAGTGTTCTTTCTGGAAATGAATGCTAGCTATTTATATATAACCTTACTTTGTAATACTCAACTTCTGACTTGTTTTTCCTAGATAAGAGCAAAACTAAGAAAGCTTACATTCTTTAAATTTTAGTATTTAATGGCTTTATTTCTTCAAATAATGAACTTAAAATTATGCTAACTATGACTAAGATAGTTATTAATTAGCAAATGAAGTTACAGAATGTTATTTTATTGTTTCTAAATTAATGCAATGATAATAGTGGTTAAGAGCATGGACTCTAAACATTATGCTTTATGTTCAAATTTCAAAACTGCCATTACCATATCTGGGACCTTGAACAAGTTACTTAATCTCTCTGTTCTCAGTTTTCCAAAAACTAAAATAAGTGGGACTAATAATGGTAGCTACCTCACAGAGTTGTAGTTAAATGAGTTAATATAACTTAAGTGCTTAGACAGCTAAGGTGCTTAGAACAGTTATACACCAACGTTTGTTGTCACTTTAATCTGTAAAAGAAGCTGAGAAAGGAGCTGCACAGGTTTCATTGTTATCTAAATTTTTCTTTAAAATATTTGAAGGACAAAACATATTTTCCTCCCTTCAAAACTTGCACAATCCTAATGGTCTTAACTTTTCAGATATTTTATAATTATAGCCTGGAGGTAAACAATTCCTGAGGTAAAAGGCCACACAGATGAAAGTTTTCTCTTTTCTAATTCGATAAAACACAGTTGTGTTACTTTTAAGGCACTATGAAATTTAGAGCATTTGTCAAGTAATAGAATTAATTACTCTTAGGCTGTAATATTACAACTCTCAGTTTTATTTTCTCTATTTGTCTTCAGCTTGTTCTGTACCAAAAAAGGGAGGTGGCATAAAATGCCCCCCTTCAAACCCTCATGCAACAGAAGTTTATATAACTGAACACCAATACTACCTTTATCACTTCCATAATAATAGAACACTGTTTTACTGAGAGCACACCACCGTTTCTGCCATTCAAATCCCAGAAAACTGTGATCTACAATAAAGGGAGAAAAGAAATAGTTTAGATGATATACATTACTTTTATAAATATAATGTGATTTCCCTATTGTAAAAGGAAAAGTTAGTTAGTATGATTTCTAAGGTTCCTCTTAGCTGTAAAATTCTATGACTAATTAGTTTGTGTCTTCGTTTCCAAGACACGAACAAAACATAAAACAAAGCTAAAAGGAATACACTGAAGCAGAGGTGGGGCTGCTATATTTGTGGGATCAACTACATGGCTAACAAACTTTCCTGACAGGAATAGTCAAAAAGGCATTTGACTATAAGGTCTTAAGATAATTAATTCATCTGGGTCACATTTTCTCATCTGTCATAAAAAGGAGGGAGGAGGAGTTGACCTAGATTATTTCTGTTATCTCTTTCGGCTTTAAAATTCAGCTAGGAAAGCTAAGAAAAGCAAATGGAATATATACAGGAGGCCCAAAGGGACTTCCTGAGAGATAAACTGAATGGTAATGAAGAGGCTTTCTGCTTTTCATTTCTTATATCATAATACTACCTCCATATTTCATTTCTATTATATATTGGGGTTGAAAGAGTGAGACCATATGGTCAACTCTCAATTATCATAGCCAATAGAGAGGAACACTGAATGAATAATAGAAAATGGCAGAAAATATGCTAAGCTTGATCTGAACCATAGCAAACATGGCGTATGCCAGGTCAGAAAAAAGATAACCCTCTGCTCAGCCAGGTGAGATAACACTGGGAAGTCCCATCCTGGAGATACAGTCAAGGCAGGAACAGGCAGTAAACAGCTCCTGAATCACCTACAAATACCCAAGGTTGACAACAATAAACTTGATCAAATGTTTTATTTTGTTCTTAGAAAGTACTCTGAGCTGAAAGCTGTATTTTGTAGTTGGGACAATGACATTAGATTTTCTTAAAGTCTTAGATTTTTAGGTTTTTCATTAGAATCACATAATTTACCTTTTCTGCGTTTTTCAAGGTAGCCAGCCTTTAACACAAAAGGAAGGTCCTGGGCTGCAATTGGAGGAAACTGGTTTCCTATGGAAGGTAGGGAGCAAAAAAAAGCAGTGAGTAATCCCTTTTAGAAAAATCAAGTATCAGATCTCATTAGATTCAGTATACTTTTAATTACTCAAATTAATTAAATCCAAGTCTATTAGTTTTATTTCATATGTATTCCATAGACTAGTCCCTTTCCACCTCCTGTGAATCTCAAGAGCAAAAAATGTTCTGTACTGTCACATCTTAATATATTATGCTCCCAAATACACAATAATATTATGTAACTGAATGATCTCTAAAGGGTGATACTTTTTGACTTGCATTCTATAAGGAATGGACTAGGACACTGTTGTTATAAATAATAGTGTTCAATATCTTTATAAATTCATTGGAAATATACTACAGTTGCTTCAGCATTTTACTAGAATGCTAACAAGTGAAAATAACCGGTCCAATGACAGTTTCCATGGAATACACCAATAAAAAGTCTTAAAACAGTTTATCATAAATAATGTTTTGATAGGAAGCTTATTATATACAAATTAATCACAGAATTACCAACTGGGTTTTTAAAAAATATCCAGTAGCTATAAAATCATGTTATTTTTCCTTAAGAAACAAAAATTCAAATTAAAGTACTAATTTCAGTTCCTGGGTGGATCAATTTTGCTCAGTAAACACAAAACAATTATCATTAAAATATATTTAAAATGGAGTAATAATTTTGAAATACATGTAAAATTTTAAGGAAAGCCAATGCAAAAGTTTGAACAACTGTCCAATCAATGCATCCATTTAATCCACTGAAGGTAAAAGTTATTTAGTATAGTATTTTTGTACATAAAATAAAACTAACATAAAGGAATTTTATCTATGTGAGTAAGTCCTGGTTAACCACTAAATTAAAGAAGGTGACTATAGTTTGACTTGCTTTTTAAACAGAAAAAAAAAGATTGATAGCATCTTTTAAATTAAACTAGGTTACACCAACAAACAGAAATATTGTATCACGTAGAAATATGAAATTTTAGCTAATATAAAACCACTTAGGAAAATCTTCTTTCTAAATAAGATTCCTGAAAACAAAGTATTTACCTCTTCAACTAAGCAAGATGATAGTTTAGTTTTTGTGGAAGTATGCTTGGACTCAGTCTTTTATGCAACCGGCACATAGAGTTCTTAAGTGAACTATACAAAATCCCTTTGTAGGAAACATCATTTGGATGACATTTCAGAATGAGAAAGCAAATATATTAATTAAATATTTAATATGATTATTGTATGTCACGAAAAAACTTCTAAGTGGTTTGTGCACAGTGGTAAAAAATAGAAAATTCACTGCAAACATCCCGTAAATAATTGTGAGTCTTTCCGATGATGGAAACAAACTTTTAAGCACTCATTTATGGATGAAATTGAGGTACCCAAGGAAGAGGCAACTTTTCAGTCTTTAGGTCTAATACAAAAGGGCACAGGGAGGGCTGAATTACCTCTACTTGGCTGGATGAGGCTCATTGAGAAGCAGTGCCATGACCCTCTCATATCCATTGGGGCATAAAATAAATGTTCTTTACATATAAAACAAAGGCTCTAAATCTTAAGAAGAAACTTTATATTCTGAAGAGAAATGGGTACCTTTAGCATAGCTTTCAACTTTAAAAAGTTACTGGTCCAGGAAAAAGGAGGGGAAGAAGCAGAAGAGAAGAAAGGGAATTAGAATTTACAAAGGTGAATGTATATAACATAAAGCTCTTGTTTTAAGAAAAATGTTGATTAAATTTCCATCTGGCAAATCAATAAAATTTGATGTCACAAGCAACACTTATTCTGAATTCTAAATTCATGTCTCTAATATAAAATCTTTTATTTCATTCCTAAAGGGGAAAAACAAATTTTCTGACTAAAATTTCATTTTTCTAAACTCCTTTTGTTATTTGTCCAACACCTAGGTTTTGTTTAATATACACATGAGTTTTTTAAAAAGTAAAAGTAAAGTAATAGTAATCCCTTTAGATACTTCAGATTTTAAGTTCTTAGAAGAACCATTTGACTGGTAGAACACCATGAACATATAAACACTTAATATTTTTTGATGGTAGAAATTGAAAATTTGTAGCAAGATATAAAAAGTAGTCATTTCTCTCTTAAAAAATATGAACTCTCACATCATTTTGACCTCATATCACTATACCTACAATGATGAACAGTATGCCACCATTTAAGGAGATACACACTGATTCAAATAATTATTATTGTTGTTCAGTTGCTCAGTGGTGTCCAACTCTTTGCGACCCCACAGACTACAACACACTAGGCTCCCCTATCCTTCACTATCTCCCAGAGTATGCTCATGTCCATTGAGTTGGTGATGCCATCCAATCATCTCATTCTCTGTTGTCCCCTTCTCCTCCTGCTTTCAATGCTTTCCAGCATCAGGGCCTTTTCCAATGAGTCAGCTCTTTGCATCAGTTCAGTTCAGTTCAGTCACTCAGTCGTGTCCAACTCTTTGCAACCCCATGAACTGCAGCATGTCAGACCTCCCTGTCCATCACCAACTCCCAGAGTCCACCCAAACCCATGTCCATTGAGTAGGTGATGCCATCCAACCATCTCATCCTCTGTCATCCCCTTCTCCTCCTGCCCTCAATCTTTCCCAGCATCAGGGTCTTTTCAAATGAGTCAGCTCTTCCCATCAGGTGGCCAAAGTATTGGAGCTTCAGTTTCAGCATCAGTCCTTCTAATAAATACTCAGGACTGATTTCCTTTAGATTGACTGGTTTGATCTCCTTGCAGTCCAGGGGACTCGAAAGAGTCTTCTCCAGCACCACAGTTTAGAAGCATCAGTTCTTCGGTACTCAGCCTTCTTTATGGTCCAAATAATTATTAATAAAACTACCACAGACAGAGGTGCCTGGTGGGCTATAGCCCATGGGATTGCAAAGAGTCAGACAACCACTGAGCAACTAACACACACACACACACACACACACACACACAAATACATGGAGACTCATGAAGAAAAGATGGGTAAAGCTAATATAAACCTATTTGGCAGGTATCAACAAAGAGTTGCTGAAAATCTGCCAAATACCATTACATTATCTAACCAAAAGAAATTATGCATCACAGCCAATTACAACATTCCAACAAACTCACAATTGTATTATAAACTCTGTTTCACTACCAAAATTCACACCCTTGTCTCAAAAATAAGTTTAGCACTGAGTTTTAATCCTTTGGCAGAGGATTAGGCATTCAGTAAATGTTGGCTTTTATTAATTATAATTAAATATTGTTATTATGCTTAATATAACTATTAATTTAAATGAATGGTTACCAATGTGAATATTAGACAATTTAATGTTGCCTAGGGAATTTTAATCAGAAAAATGAAAAAAGCATGATTTGGTAACTGTATGAGTTAAGCATTACAGTTATTTTAAAAGCAACTTGAAGATTTCTTTCTGAATATATAAAAGTGGTTGATGGAGAAATTATATCCTAACTCAAAGGAGAAAAAATAATTAACCTATACTCCAGGGCAGCTTATTTATACTGCAGACTATTATCTCATAGCTTTCTAAAGTGGCCAAAAATTTTCACTACCCTGACAAAATAAGCATATACTGACAAAGACAAGTCTTTTTATAATATGGGCATGTATTTCTTATATAATAGCCCAACTTTTCTAAAGACGATCAATATTAGATATTAAAACTAATACCCTACAAGAGCAGGCAAGGAATGGGTCTTCTTCCAATTTGACATTTTGGAATCTGATATATGCAAAATGGTAACAATGTCACAAAAAATTCAAAGAAACAAGTATCATGTACCTAATATATCCTACTAACTCAGTGGGAAAAAGGAAGCAATGGAATCCAAATTTTCTTACAGTTAGGTAGGTATCAATATTTTATTCACAAGGCCACTGTTTTTAAAAGATAACTCAAGAATTCTAGATTGTGTCTTGAAACTTTTGTCTTTAAATCAAACTGTGTTATACAGTGGACATAGTCTACCAGCAAGCTAAAGGAATGGATTCTAGAATAGAGAAGAGTTCCAAAGCATGAAAATATTTAAAAAAAAAAATTACCTAAAACCTAAGTAAGGTATTACCCAATTTTAGTAATTTTATTAATCTACAGTTTTAATTTTTTCCCTGAAACTAGGAGGAAAAATACTGAAATCTTTAAATATAGCCATTGTATTTAAGAAATAAGTTCTATCTTTTAAAATGCTTTAAATATTAAAATATTTAGCCACAATATTTAATAAAATATTAAATAATACCCCTATTCTAAGATTCCATGAAATAGATACACAGATATTTTTCTTGCACTTTCAATAACAAATGGCCAAGAATCAAGATGGATTTAACTTTCAAAAATATCTAAAGTGAAAACTGTTCACAACATATTTTGGTAGAACAATGGATAACTGCCTTTAGATCTAGCACAGAACTGTTTTATGTCATTTCAAAGGTTTAATTTCTAACTAGAATCGTGGCCTGGAGTATCTGTGAAAGAAAATAAATACATAAATATTTTTCATTTTCTACTAGCTCAATTCACACAGAAAATTTGGAATCTCAAATCTTTTCATCAGTTTTTTTTAGTGGCAACACAAAAATTATGTATTCAAAGGACACATGAAACAACAGTAACACTTAAGAAAAGAACTATTACAGTAACTAAAAGATTACTACTTGTGTTTCCTTAGCATAGTCCTTTCATAGAGTTTTTTTCTCATGTATCACTACTATTCTCTTCAGAAAGGATTAACCAATGAATATACTATTGGTGATCCCTAAATCTATCATGATACTTACTTAAAAAAAAAAAAAGGCTCATATTTGGTTAGACACAAAGATGGTCAGCTTCCAATTAGCAGGACCATAGAATCCCCAGAGGTAGTTAAGCCTTGGCTACCAGATTCAAAGACTGATAACTTCCCTGTGATGACACCAGGGGCAAAAATAGAGGTTGCAACTCACAGGTTTGCCATCTGTTAGTCTCTCCACCCCCTCTATAAAG